TGAGCTTGGCTCCGAGGGGTCTGGATTTGGGGCCTTTTCTTCCCCACACTTTCTCAGGGCTCTTGTTTAGACTTGAGAAGGTTTGAGGGTGACTGGTCCCCCGCTTCCTACCCCGGTCCCCTCCATTGTCTGTCATGCCCTTTATTCCTGCCAGGGGAGGGAGGGCTGGGGGCGCCGGTCTGGATTTGTTTTCCAGCCCAGCTGGGCCCTGGGGCAGTGTCATTGGGACCCCGCTCTGTCAACTTTACTGGTGAAGGGCCCTGATCCAGGGCTGAGAGATTCTTTCAGTGCAAGGGGGAAGGAGGCCTTGGGGCGGTCTTCTCAAGGGCTGTCTTCTGTGTCTTCCCTCTTTCCAGGTAGGGGCAGAACCAGGTCAGGCCTAGACTTGTTGTCCGGAAGAACAGGGCATAGGGGTAGGGGCTGGACACAGCTCAGAGGGGCTGGTGCCCATAGTGGCTCTGTGTATCCAGTCTCTTGTGGCCTGGTTCTGTGTACACATGTTCCACAGCAGTGCTGGGGTCACCTGGGGCAAGGAGGGAAGGCTCTCCCAAAAGTTGGAGATTTGGGGGAATTATGTCCCCTCCCTTCTAGACTCCTGTAGCCCCACTCCCCCCAAGAGCCCTCTCCTAGGGCACTACCTAAAGGATGTGGTTTTGTGGTCTTTTGGGTCCCTACTCTCCCAGTGGGCAGGGAGTACACAGATCTTCCAGGACAAGGCTGTCCGGTAAGGGTGACTTCAGGGGCCCTGGATGCCCCCTCCTCAGGGAGAGGGTAGGAGCCAGTATGAGTCCCAAGCTCTTGGGCCTTTCCCCACTCCCCTGGGGAGGGAACCGTCATTAATGCTAATGAGCGCATCTGGGCTGGGGAATGGCTATTAGAATGGTCAGTGCTTGCCAGGACAGAGCGGCGCATTAAGTATACAGGAGCATCACATGGGTCCTGAGCCCTGCTCCCATCCTCACCCTAAGGTTTGTAGACCCTGGCACTTTCTACCAACTGAAGGAATATCAAAACCACATCTCAACAGAGGTGGTCAAGAAATAGGGATCTGGTCCCCTCTGGACCTTTAACCAATTGTGCCATCTTGGCGGGCCCCTTTGGGCCTCAGTTTCCCTGCTTGGAATGAATGACTGCTCAGGTCCCTTTTCTCTGAGCTCCTCCCAGAGTCTGTCTCCCAGTTTGCCTCCCTTCTCCCATGATGGAACCTGAACCTGGTGGGGTCTGGAGAGGTGGGTGGGTGATCCAGTGGCCCAAGGAAGAAGGCAAGGACAAACCAAGGAGTGACTGAGGAGTAGCTCAGCCAGGTGAACAGGGCTGAAAAGGTGGCAGGAAGCAGGTGTCAAGGAACAGGGAGGCTTAGTGGATTGGGGGATCTTGCCTCTGAGGTGGTCGAGCGTTCTGGTAGGGCTGGATGGCACAAAGGGTCTTCAGAGACCATTTGGGTGGCCCTACCCTCTGCCCCACTCCCAAACACCTCTGGGGGCCCCAGGGCTCAGTGTGGAAATCGCTGGTCCTGCCCTCCTCTCCTTCCCCACTCAGGATGGGGAGAGGAGCCCAGGGGTCTAAATGCTGCAGCTTTCTGTGAAGGAGCTAGGAGGTCGCAGCCTCTTCTTCCCACATGGGGGCTGCAGAAGCTGTGGGATTCCGGGGGTGACCCTGAGGACCTGCCTCTGGATAGAGCTGGGGAGGTCAGCAGATCACACTCAGTACTGTCCCAGTGGCCTTGCCCTGTCTTCCCTCCCCTCCCCTCCCGGTGTTGTGCCCTAGGTTGTCTGCAGAAGGGGCCGCTTCCCTCCAGGGAGAACTCTGCCCTGCCGGAGGGAGGGCTCTGCCTGTCTTCCCCAACCCACAGGAGGTGGAGGTTAGGGCCAGAGAGGTTCATCCCCCTGTACATCCTAAAGCCTCTGCCCTTGGGGTTTCCTAGAGTGCCGATTGTTTCCTGTGCTCCCTGCCAGGCCTGAAAGGGCAGGAAGTGTTAGAGGGAAATGAGACTGCAACTGTGTGTGGCGCTGGATGTGTGTGAGGGAAGCCGTGAGTAGGACATTTCTGTGTGGGTGAGACTTGCCTTCTGTGGGGCTGGATATGTGTGGAAGAGAACCCTGGTCAGAGCGGCTTGTGCAGGGCTAGGTGTATGCAGGAGAGAAGCTGTGGCTTTGTGACATTCATGTATGTGACAGATATACACATCCATAAGAGAAACTGGTGACTCTTCATGTGTCTGGGCGTGCCGCCACCTGTGTACCTAAGAACCTGCATGGGGGATGTTCTGTGTGTGCCAGGGCATTCTGTGTGTGTCCTGGATGTGCCGCTGAAGGAAGCCGGCTGCCTAACCATCTGTGTGCCTGGAGATTACACTGGGTGTGACTCTGATGCTCAAGTGACCTGCGTGTGAGGGACACCATGCTTGCATGAGGCTGTGTGTATGCGAGCGCGCGGGCGCGTGTGTGTGAGAAGCCGGATGAGTGGTGATCTGTGTGATGTGTTATGCTGTGGTGTGACCACTTGTGACCTGTATGTTGTGACACAGCATGTGAGATGGCTTCAGGTTTGTCTGTGTGTGACTTACGTGTGACACTACATGCGAGTAAAACAATACGACCAACTCCGTGTCAGTATGATGTGTGTCCCAGCAAGGTGGGCGCCATCCGACATGTGCCAAGCATGAATATGGTATGTGGTGTGTGGGTGACACTGAGCACCAGAAAGCGATGCCGTGTGTGAGAGAAACTGTGGGGCGTGACTGATCCTGGCACTGTGGGTGGGTGGTCACTATCTGAACGTGTTTGGGACTCTCGGGTAGTGTGGGTGACGCCCCCAGGGCTGTGCCAGGCAGGGCGTGTAGGAGGCTCTGTGGGGTGCGTTTGGGGCCTGTGGTCCCTGACATGTGTGGCATCTATGTGGAAGACCATGAGAAAGACACTGATAAAAAACAGAAAGGAGGAATGTAATTAATGCCACTCAGTTGTACACTTAGAATGGCAAAAATGGTAAACTCGATGTTATGTATATTTTATCACAATAAAGATTCTTTAAAAACCCAGCAGGAGAGAGATGCGGGTAACAGTGGATGTGCAGGACAGTGGCTGTGACGCAACTGTGTGTGCGAGCGAGAGGAAGGGCGCAGAGGACACCATGACTCTCATGGGGGCACTGACTGAGTGGCTGGTGGGAGCCCAGTGGGCGACCCGGAGTACCAGGAGTCTGGCGTGGTAACTGAGAACTGAGAAACTGTGACCCCCCACAGCCTGTCTCCCACTGGATACCTGAGATTCCCGCCCTGGGACCAGGACAAGATGAGGAGACAAGTCAGTCCCAGGGAGGGGGTGAAGGGAGGTCTGGGAACTGGGCCCTTCTCTCTGCAGGGGACTTGAGGGCTGAGTCTCCACCCTCCTACCCTCTATACTGCTTCAGGGAGAGGGGGCGTGACGACGGATGAGCTTTGCAGAAGGAGGCCTGGGGAGACTATCCCAACCCCCTCTGCTCCCTGAGAAAGCCCCTTTCCCAAGTAGTGTGGGGAGGAGGGGCAGAGACAGTCTCCATTCCCAAATTGGAAGCACATTAATAAGTGGGGGGGAGAGTGGAGGGGCCCCCACCTCCCTCCTAGTGGGCTCTGCAAATTGCTTCCTCCTGTAAAAATTGAGACCCTGTTCCAGGGAGGAGGGAATCCCTCCCTAGCCTGGCAGGGTGTGGCTGCTTGGCAGGGTCCCTCCGGGGTCCTTGGGCTGGAGTTGGGGGAGGCGGATACATCCCTACTTGCTCTGCTGCCCCAGAGCATGGCTACTTCTAGGGTGGGAGCTTCTGGCAGCTGGAGAACAGCTGGCCTGCTGTGGGGCGGATAGGGGAGGAGGGAGGAAAAGGCAGAGGGGGTGGGAGACTCCCTTAGCCCTCCTCAGCTGCCCTCCCCATCCTCGACCCCCTGGCTGGTCAGCCCAGCTCAGGTTTGAGGGCAGAGATTTGGGAGGAAACTGCTGATTTCACTGATCTTCCCACATTTTGAGTGATGTTCTCACTCCAAGTGAGAAGGCTTTGGGGGCTGGGGTCCCTGCAGGGGTGGACTGCTGGCTGCTAGACCCAGGAAGGTCACAGCTCAGCTCGTCCTCCCAGCAGGGCTGGTGCAGGGGGAGGGGTAAGACAGGAGGTGCCCACCCACCCAGACTGGTTTTTTCTGTGCCTCCTACTGAGGCAGTGGCTCCGGGGCCCCTAAAGGGAGCTACAGGGCTGGGTGGTCTGGAAGCTGCAGGGCCTGTGGGGGTGGGGGGCCAGGGCCTCTGCAGCGGCCCCAGCTCTGGCCTGATCCCTGGAGCTGTCCAGCCAGTTCTTCCGGCAGGTCTTGCCCCAGGGTGGGGGTGGGCAGCAAGGTGCCCCTTATCTTCCCCAGGGCCCCAAAGCCTGCTCACCCAGCCTCCTAGCCCCCATCCCTGCCTCCACCCAGAGGCCTTCTGAGCCTGGAAGGCTGAGGGCCCTGGGAGAGGGGAAGCGGGTGTGGCTGGTCAGGATGAGGGTGAAGGCAGACTGAGTCCCCTGGGGGTCTGCAGCCTGCTGGCGGGTTTGCAGGACAGGTACAACAGGACTCCTCTGCAGGGGCAGATGGGAGGGGTTCTAAGAGGAGGTGGAGGGTAGGAGCCCCTGAGACGGGAGTGGGGGTGTCCTGGACTGTGGCTGGCCCCCAGCCCCCGGCAGTGGCCTCCCTTGTCACTCCCTCCCTCTGTTCGGCCTTGGCCTCTGGGTCTCTGTCCTTGTCCCTGTCTTTCTCTTTCTCCCTGTCCCCTCCTGGCCTGCCCCTCCCTCGATGCCTGTCATATCTGAGTTTCTGGTCTACCCCTTTCTGCTCTGTGTCTCTCTGGGTCTTTGTTGGTTGCCTTGTCTGTGCCCCCTCTTTCTTCTCCCGTCTCCTGCCCTCCTTCACCCCTTCTCCCTCCACCCCCCACCGGCTCTGTCAGTCTGTGGGTCTGACGGTCCAGCACTTCCCTGCCCTGCCTCCATATCTCTCCTGGGGTCTCTCCCTTCACTCTTCGGGGCTCTGGTCTGTCTCCTGTTGGGCTGGGCTTTCTGTCTCTCACTCACTGGAACTCTTCTGTCTCTGGTCTGTTTTCTCTCTGGGTTTACCTCAGCTTCTCTTTGCCCCAGACTCTCCCCCAGCCTGTCTCCCCTGCTCCTCCTGTCTGTCTCAGGCCCCACTCTGGCCTTGGTCTCCCTCCCCTTGACCCTCAGTTGGGTATCCTCCCTCTCCTACCCCTCTTCATGGCACAGCGAGGCAGAGCTTCTAGACACCTGACACCTGGGCATCGTCAGCCAGCAGCCCAGGATCTGCCCTCTCGCCCACAGTCAGCCTTCTCTAGATGTCCCACCCATCCACCAAGCCAGAGTCCCACATTTGCCCCAGCCCAGCCCGCACCTGTCCAAGGAGCCATAGCCTCCTCAGCCCGGCCTGGGTCCCAGCGGTTAGGGGGTCTAGGGAGAAGAAGGCGGGCACATGCTGGTCTCTAGGAGAACAGAGCAGCCAGTGCTCACACCTTCTGCAGACTCCCTTCCACTGAGACCCCGGTCCAGCCCCCAGCCCAGGGCAGCTGCCTGCCCGCCACTGCCCACGTGTGTGCCTCAGCTTGGGGGTACACATTCTCGCGTGGTTGTCCACCCGAGCACTCGCACAGCCCCTCTGCACAGTGTGCTCCTGTGCATGGATGTGTGTGGGGAGTGCCACTTGCCCCTGTGTTGGTGCCTCTGCCCCTAGGAGCGTTCCTAGAAAGTGAGTCTCGAATGCATCTAGGAGCCAGCGGAAGGGAGGGACGGTGGTCCTATTCTCTCCTTGACGCGTCCTTTGGGCCGTCCCCCCTCCCCTCCCCCTCACCAGCTGCCAGCGGTCCCAGCCAGGGGCCGCCTGCCCCGCCCCCCCAGTCTGTCCCAGCTCCCAAGCCTGCTGCTGTGTTCGCCATATTTGGCCACAGTGCTCCCGCGGGGGGCGGGGCGGGGCTGACATCACCCTCAGAAGGGGGGCCACAGCCTGCTTGAGGGGAGGCGGGCAGGGACTTGGGGGAGGCAGGAAAGTTGCTTTAAAAGTCTGGGGCTGCCTGGGCCGCTGCTGCTCCAGGGAGGCCTCGGGAAGGGGTTAAGAGGGGTCTTAGCTCATTGTAGCCCCTCTTCTCCCTCCCCTCTGACAGCTCTGTGGCAGTGTCAGACTGATACCTGTGGACAGGGCCTGCATCCCAGCTATATCAACAGGGGAGTCGCTAGGTGTGCCCACCCAGCTAGCGTACCCCTGTCCCCTCACTTTTGTTTTTCTTTTTGTTTTTTTAAATTTAAATTTAATTTTTAAAAATAGAGACAAGGTTTTCACTATGTTGTCCAGGCTGGTCTTGAACTCCTGGCCTCAAGTGATCGTCCCAGAGTTCTGGAATTATAGTCATGAGCCACCACCCCCCACATTTCCTTATTTATTTATTTATTTATATTTATTTATTTTGTTTACCCCTCACATTTCTATTCCAATAATTCCCCTCTGATTGAGGAGTGGGGGCTGGGGCTCTCGATCCAGTTTCCTGGGGTGAGGGACAGGCTGGGAATAAGGGCATCTGGCCCCTCTGACAGGTCAGGGGCACAGCTCCTTCTGGCTGCCCACTGGCCGTGGGAGAGAGATTCCTGGTGGCTCTGGAGGCATCACAGAAAGGGATGTACAGCAGTGCAGGGGTCCTTGAAGTTGCTCCAGCTGCTTGGACTGAGGGGGACCTCCTGGGCAGACTTAGGGCCATTGCTATGGCAGGTGAACCTCCTTTCTCTCTCCAGGTGGTGGGGTCTCACAGCACCCTCCCTATAACCTTCCTGGTTATAAAACTGAAGCCAGCTTACCTGGGTTCAGAACCCAGCCCTAGTACTTACTTGTTGTGTGCCCTAAGGCAAGTTGCTTAACTTCTCTGTTTCTTGGATTCTTCATCTATAAACTAGGAATAATAATAGTATCTGCACCATAGGGTTATTGTGAAGATTAAGTGAGTCAATGTGTGTGAAATCCCAGAACAGTGCCTGGCATATGACAGGTACTGTTATTAGTAGTAATATTAAGTCTAAACTCAATAGTTTAGAATAATTACAATAACTAGTTGAATAGCTGAATAACTAACTGAATAATAGTTTAGAATAACCGAGGGCCAGGCGCGGTGGCTCACACCTGTAATCCCAGCACTTTGGGAGGCTGAGGCTGGTGGATCATGAGGTCAGGAGTTTGAGAGCAGCCTGGCCAACATGGTGAAACCCTGTCTTTACTGAAAATACAAAAAATTGGCTGGGCTCAGTGGCTCACACCTGTAATCCCAGCACTTTGGGAGGCCGAGGCGGGCAGATCACGAGGTCAGGAGATCGAGACCGTTCTGGCTAACACGGTGAAACCCTGTCTCTACTAAAAATACAAAAAGTTAGCCGGGCGTGGTGGCTGGCGCCTGTAAGTCCCAGCTACTGGGGAGGCTGAGGCAGGAGAATGGTGTGAACCCAGGAGGTGGAGCTTGCAGTGAGCCGAGATTGCGCCACTGCACTCCAGCCTGGGAGACAGCGAGACTCCATCTCGGGAAAAAAAAAAAAATTAGCCGGGCATGGTGGCACGCGCCTGTAATCCCAGCTACAGGTACGTGGCACCATGCTGATCGGGGAGGCTGCATGGGAGGCTGAGGCAGGAGAATGGTGTGAACCCAGGAGGTGGAGCTTGCAGTGAGCCGAGATTGCGCCACTGCACTCCAGCCTGGGAGACAGCGAGACTCCATCTCGGGAAAAAAAAAAAAATTAGCCGGGCATGGTGGCACGCGCCTGTAATCCCAGCTACAGGTACGTGGCACCATGCTGATCGGGGAGGCTGCATGGGAGGCTGAGGCAGGAGAATCGCTTGAACCCAGGAGGTGGAGGTTGCGGTGATCAGAGATCGCGCCATTGCACTCCAGCCTGGGTGACAGAGCAAGACTCCATCTAAAACATAAAAAATAAAACATTTTAAAAAGAAAAAAGAATAACCTAATAACTAGCTGACATTCAGGCCCCCCCGGCCCTCCCCACCTCGTTCTGCTAGTGACCCCCTCAAGCCTCCCTAAGCAAACAGGTGGCTCTGCAGAGAGAGTCCACCCCCACTCAAGCAGCAGGACCTGGAATTCATCTTCCTCTCCCTGGCTTCTGATGGGGTCCCCCACCTCTCCACCCCTCCCTTTTCCCTGCTGCCCAGAGCTAAGTCCCAGGATCCAGCCATCATGGGCTCTTACGTTTCCAGGACCCTGAATACATTGGACATGTGGGTTCTGGGGCTGAAGGGGATTTGGGGTGAGTCTTGGGGTGGTGAGTGATGGGGGCCTAGTGGGGTGTGGTCCTAACTAATAACTCAGTCTGGTAGGTTCAGGGCGCTCACAGTTTACAGAGCCCTGGCCCACATGGAGGATGGGCCAGGGAGGGGGCGGGCGTGTGGGTGGTTTACGGGTGTGAGTGGTTTACAGGCTGCTGTGGGGCCTGGAGGTGCGGGAACAGGAAGTGGGATAGAGGAGCGGGTGAGATTGAGCCAGGCTGTTGGCCAAGCACCTTCTCAGCTGCTCCCTCTCCAGTTCCCTTTTTGTAATTCCTGGGGCAGTTCCTGCCCCACGTTAGGCCCGTTGGCAGAGTTCTGGTTGGTTATCGATTTGGGGGAGGTAAAACAATTCCCTTCCTGGGTCAGGGACCCTCCTTGTGCCCTGAGGGGTCCTTAGCTGGGCTGCATTGATGCTGGGGCAAGAGTGAGGGGTAGAGTTCCCTGACTGGGGATCTGGACACTGGGGAGGAGGAGCTGACAGGGAGAGCTGAGGAAGCACAGCCCTGCCCCTCTGCTCCTCCTCTCTGTGCTCCTTAGCATGCCTTTGGCAGCTGCATGACCTTGTGAGCCTCAATTTTCCTCTCTGGATAATGGGCGTTATTCCCTACCCTTCCTGCTTTAGTGTTTTTTGTTTTTGTTTTTTGAGACAGGGTCTGCTCTGTCACCCAGGCTGGAGTGCAGTGGTGCCATCTCCACTCACTGCAAGCTCTGCCTCTGGAGTTCAAGGGATCTTCATGCCTCAGTCTCCTGAGTAGCTGGGATTGCAGGAGTGTGCTGCCATGCCCTGCTAATTTTTTTTTTTTTTAAAGATGGAATCTTGCTCTGTTGCCTAGGCTGAAGTACAGTGACGTGATCTCAGCTCACTGCAACCTCTGCCTCCTGGGTTCAAGCGATTCTCCTGCCTCAGCCTCCTGAGTAGCTGAGATTACAGGCACGTGCCACCACACCCAGCTAAGTTTTGTATTTTTAGTAGAGATGGAGTTTCACCATGTTGGTCAGTCTGGTCTCGAACACCTGACCTCATGATCCAACCTCCTTGGCCTCCCAAAGTGATGAGATTACAGGCATGTGCCACTGTGTCCAGCCCTGATATATTTTTAGTAGAGACGGGGTTTCACCATGTTGGTCAGGTTGTTCTCAAGCTCCTGACCTTAAAGGATCCGCCCGCCTTGGCCTCCCAAAGTGCTGTGATTACAGGCATGAGACACCGCGCCGGCCTAGTTTTGTGAGGTTTGAATGAATATGAAAATGCCTTTTCCCTACAAAAGTGCTGTGTTGGTGTGAGGCATTGTTGTTGTTACTGATTACGTATTTCTTGAGTGTCATGAGCCGGGCATGTGGCTAGTACTTTGTCATGAGCTCATTTAAGTTTTAACCCTCACAACCTCAAGGAGACCCTTTTCTCATTTTACAGGACTGAGGCCTAGAGAGGTGAAGTAGCGCGTGCATCCCAGGTCACACAGCTCTGAACAAGCTGTGGTTGGTTGTTACCTCCATTCCACCCGGAGCACCTGTTCCTAGGGTGGGCTTGGGGCTGGGGGCGGAGCTCCAGACCCAGCGGTTGGGGGATAGGAGATTGCTGTGGTCGAGGAGGACCCTGGCCCCAGCTCCTCTCTGTCTGTCCCCCAGGCTCGGCCGCCCAGCGGGCTCAGGCCCAGAGCCCAGAGCAACCAGCACAATAGCGTCCAACAGCTGGAACGCCAGCAGCAGCCCCGGGGAGGCCCGGGAGGATGGGCCCGAGGGCCTGGACAAGGGGCTGGACAATGATGCGGAGGGCGTGTGGAGCCCGGACATCGAGCAGAGCTTCCAGGAGGCCCTGGCCATCTACCCGCCCTGCGGCCGGCGCAAGATCATCCTGTCCGACGAGGGCAAGATGTACGGTGCGTGCAGCGGGGGCGCGGGCGGGACTGCGGCCCTTCCCCCTGCTCTCTGCCCTCTCACCCAACCGGTTTGGTGACGTCGGAGGCTGCCAGCCGCTGGCTGGGCGAGTCTGGGCTCGCAAGCCTGTGTGTCTGGATCCTCCTCCGCGCTCCTCCTCATAAACAAGCCGGGCTCGCCCCCAATCCAAGGCGCAGCCCACACCTTGGCACCCCCGCCTGCTCCTCCTCTCCTCCCCGCTACCGGCCTGGAGGTTTCGAGGTGACTCAGTGGGCCCAAGAAAGTGGGTCAGCCCAGTCTGTGCCAGTCGAGACCCGGAAGGGGGTCCCTTCCCGTAGGAAGATGTGGAAAGGAGGCCCGGTGACAGTCGCAACGCAGTTCCCTCCAGTGCGGGCTGTGGGAGGTCGCACCGGGACAAAGGCCTGCGTTGGGGCCGTGAGGACGCGTGCCCTTCTCAGTCCCCTTCTCCACTCCTTGTGTTTGCTGGCCCTTCTCTATGCCATCTTGCCCACTTCCAGAAGGGAGTGTCCCCTCTTGTCCAGCCCTGAGAGGGCTCTCCCATAGCTGCATTTTTGGGATAACTCGACCCTTCTGGGCCTGGTTCCTGGCCAGCCCCCCTATTCCTCCTAGCAGCCCATGGCTGAGCGAGGCAGGCCCAGCCCTTCCCAGGGCGCGGCTGTGGGAAGGGATCAGGGCTGCTCCGTGTCCCTTGGCCACGCCCCCTTGGCCACGCCCACCCCAGCCCCAGAGCCCCACCTTGGGGGCAGGCAGATGGTCCAGGGTGCCTTCCACAGGGTGGGTGCTGCCTGCCCCCACTGCTGCCTCCCAGGCTGGGGGAGCCCCACAGGGTATTTTTAGACAGGGTGGAGAGATTGGGGTGGAGAGGGGCTGGCGGGAAGGGAGGAGCAATGGGGCTGGTTCAGTCATTGGAATGGAATTTGGAGAATTTGGCTGTTCTGGGGAGGCCATGGGGCTGGGGGGCAGATAGCCTGGATTTGGGGGTAGAGGTGTACACCTTGACCATGCTGATGTGGGCTTAGCTGTGTGGCCCAGGCATCCCCCTTTCAGGCCCAAGTCCCTGGACACTGGCAGCTTCTGGGCCCTCAGAGGGTCTGTAGTACAGAACAGACCCTGCACCCCAAGGCTCACAAGGCTGTCACAGGGTGGAGAGACACTGGGGACTGGTGACATGGGCGTAAAAGGCACAAGGACTTGGCGACATGCTCAGTGACACATCTTGACAAGGCCGCCAGTGTAGGAGGCACATTGGAGGCGCTCAATGCTGCCTTCCTGTCCTTCCTGGTCTTTCACCACAGAAGGGAAGGGACTTGTCCAGGGTAAAGACAGAGTAAGGGCAGGACATCCACCTGGGGCAGGCTCATTCACACGCCTCCACAAATCCATGCACTAAGAGCGTTGGAGCTGGTGACACAGGCAGGAAGCACTTCAGGGGGCTGGGAGGATGGGCGTGCCTGGCCAGGACTGGCCCTACCCTGCTACTGTCCTGCTGACCTGTACCACAGCCACCCAGTCTGTCTGCAGGGAAGCCTGTTAGGGTGCCTCGGCCCTCCTTCCTCCTACCTTACAGCTCCTAATGCACCCCTCCCCTGAAGAGCAGCCCCTCTAGGTCCTGGAGGCGGTAGGATGCAGCTGAGACTCCCCAGCCACTTTTGCACGCCCTGCACGTGCAGCTTGGAGTGAAGAGAGTGGTGAACAGAAGAGCAGTGTTTTGGGGAGGGACCTGGAGTGGCTTCCCAGTGGGGTGGGGGTCTCCAGCCTCTGGCTCCACCCTTTGCCCACTCCTCATTTTCTCTCTCACCCCAATCTAGGCCGAAATGAGTTGATTGCACGCTATATTAAACTGAGGACGGGGAAGACTCGGACGAGAAAACAGGTAGAGAGACGGTTTATGCTGGGTCCACCACCCACACACTCTGTCTCAGCTGCCCCGGTCAACCCCTTGCCCCTACCCTGCCCACCTCCTCGAGGCTGCCCCCGACCTGGCCTGCCACCCTCCTTGCCTCATCACGCTCCCCTTACGCCCTCGATTTTACCCCCTCCCACTCCCGAGCAGCTCCATTCACCCTTCCCTCTTCTCTTGGAGAGATGGCCCCACTGTCCTTTCTGACCACCCACTACCCTGCCCAGGGCCTTTGGTTCAGGGACCACAGATAAGCCCACGGGGCTGCTGGGGCTGCTACATGGTCTCTGCCCTGAGTCACCAGCCAGGGAGCCAGACGGTCAGATGGACGGGTACAGAGCAGGGTGGCGGGGCTGAGAGGGGGTGGGTGCAGGGCACTCTGGGACAAGCAGCCAACCCAGACAAAGCTAGGGGAGTGGGGAGAGAGAGCTGGGAAGGCTCCCTGGAGGAGGTGACACTAGGGATGTATTTTTAAGAAGGAATGGGAGTTAGCCAGGCAGAGAAAAGGGAGAGGACCCTTCCTTCCAGGCTGAGGAAGTTGGATATACAACTAATCATCATGGTAAACCCATACAGAGCTTCCTTTAAGTTAATTCATTTAATCATCTCAGCAACCTTCTTAGATAGGTACAGTAATTATCTCTTTTTTATGATGAGGAAACTGATGCATAGGGAAGTTAAGTAGTTTCCTCAAGCCCCCGAGGCAGGAAAGAGCCATGCCTGTGGGCAGCATGATGTGGCAGAGGGAGGGTGGGGACTGCTGGGGTAGGGGACACTCAGCAGGAGACATGGAGGACAGATTCCCCAAGAGGCAGCGGTGGGCCACAGGAGGGTATGGAGCAGGGAGTGGCAGGTGGCAGCTGTTGAGGAAGGCCCTCAAGCAGTCGGGACAATGGATTAGAGAGGGCTGGGTGGAGACAGGGAGGCTGGCTATTGGGGGCATAAGCAAAGGCCTAGATCAACAGTGCCAGGGCCTGGGACAAGGGTAGTGGTGGTGGGAACGGAGAAAAATGATGATGTAAGAGACAATTAGTGGCTTGTGGTCCAGGGAAGGTGGCAGTGTGGTGACAGAAATCTGAAGGGGAGTGGATGGGAGTGATGGCCTCACCGCCTGGGAGAGAGGCCAGGCTGGAGGCAGGACCTGGAGGAATGGAGGCCAGTGCTTCCCTCACGCTCCCAGCCTCCTGTCCTGGTGGGATTTGGACCCACAGATCCCCATGGTGCATATGACAAGTCTGGCCTGTTCCACCTCCTTCTCAAAGGAAGGTTCTGAGCTTCCCCACCCAGTGTAGGGGCAGCAAAGATCCCCCATGCATTCAAGCATTTATGAACCACCCTCCCTGAGTCTAGCTCATGCAGCACCAAATGTATTCACTTAGCTAATGACTGACCTACTGCTATGTTCTAGGCACCAGGGATACCACATGGAGGCGCACACACAGGCCCTGTTCCCTGGAGCCCTTGGGTTCAAATATTAGTTCTACCTGGGAGTGGGCAGTAGTTGGCCTCCCACCCTTGTGTCCTCAGCCTTTGAGTTAGTTAACATGTGAAGACTCTTAGAACAGCATAAGCACTGCAGAAGAATTTGCTGCTGCTATTATTATTATTCCAGTCATTATTATAAACAGAAAGCTGTTCTGAGCTCAGAAGCGAACTCTCAGCAGGTCCTCCTCTACCCAGAAGAGGTATTCATAGGAACCTGTTAGTCAGAGTGGGAAGGGGCCAAGGATCATTAAACTAGGTCACTGGTTTTTTTTTTTTTTTTTTTTTTTAAGTTTTTTAAATTACTGTAGAGATGGGGGTCTCGCTATGTTGGCCATGTTATTCTTGAACTCTTGGCCTCAAGCAGTCCTCCCGCCTCAGCCTCCCAAAGTGCTAGGATTACAGGCACGAGCCATTGCATCCAGCCACGCTGGGTCACTGTGAACTGAGGCCAGGGTGGACTGCAGAGGTGGGCACATCCCAGCCCCTGAATTCAGGGTCCACCATCACACCTGCTCCTGCCCAGCATCCTGAGAGGGCTGCCCAGAAAAGAGCTTTTACAAACCAGCTATTGACAAGCTCGGAATTTTAGAAACCACTGCCTTCATCGTAAGGGCATAAGGTACAAGGATGAAACTCCCCCTATCTTTACTCTTTCTTAGAACTCTGGGCTTTTAGATCCCAGTGAAAGGGGACCCATCCTCTGGTTGTGAGAACAAGGCCTGTCTTTATGTGTTAAAAAGAGTAACCACTGACAAGGTTTTTTTTGGTCCTTTTAAAATTTACTTTTGACCTGTAATCCCAGGACTTTGGGAGGCCGAGGCGGGTGGATCACTTAGGTTAGGAGTTTGAGACCAGCCTGGCCAACATGGTGGAACCCCGTCTCTACTAAAAAATACAAAAATTAGCCAGGCGTGGTGGTGTGCACCTGTAATCCCAGCTACTCGGGAGGCTAAGGCAGGAGAATCACTTGAACCTAGGAAGCAGAGACTGCAGTGAGCCGAGATCACGCCATTGTACTCCAGCCTGGGTGACAGAGCGAGACTCCATCTCAAAAAAAAAAAAAAAAAAAAATTACTTTTGGCAAAGAAATGCAGTTTTAGGTTTTTACACATACATACATGCAGCAATTTGTAGCAAGCACAGTGCCTCCATATGGACAAAAGAGCTAAATATTAAGTTAGAATGAAGCTCCGTGTGACTTTCAGCTGTTACAGAGTCAACCATGTGGAGGTAGTCTGAGCTAAGAGTACAAGCGAGTCCTGGTAGCGTAGCTTGGTGGTGAGTGGAGTCAGAGTGGGCTCTGGACTCAGACCGCCTGGGTTTGAATCCTGGCTGTGGCAGTCAGCTGTGTGACGGCTTAACCTTTCCAGGCTTTAGTTTTGTCATCCGTAAGTCAGGGATATTAGTACCTATGTTTTTGTGTTGCTGTAAAGATCAAGGGGTTGGTATGTGTAAATGCAGAGGACGACAGTATCTGTGCTCAGTAAATGTCTGTTACTGTCACAACATGAAGTGGTCAGTAATTTTGCTGGACAGGAGTCTGATTCCTGGGCTCAGTGAGGCAGTGTGAGGAGCACCCACCCAGGTCCTAACCAGGTGGCATCACGTACATACTCACTGTCAGGCTGTGATTAAAGAGAAAAAGGAGCTTTCTTTGTAAGAATAAAAACAACTTGCCAAGAAAGCCACTTGCCAATGCTGGAAGCATGAAGCGGCATCAAGGATCTGTGTGTTTCCTGGGGAAAACAGTGACATTTGGGTTCTCTGTGCCTCTGGGTCAGATCTTTGACAAGGTCAAGGGTCTGTTGTGTCAGCTGGGCACACAGCACGGCGCACACATCCAGACTGTGATTAGCTCAAGTTGCCAGTGGAGGCTTCAAGGAGGAGATTGCTAGAGAAGAAGTGCAATTAAGAACACCTACTGAGTACATATATACACACTAGCGTATATTAGCCCAAGCAAAGAGAAGGTGTATTAGGGGAAAAAGTTATGGGAGCAACGCAGGAGGGCCAGGCCTGGTTTCATAGGCTGGGGCTGTGGTTGGGGTTGACAGGAGGACTCAGGCAGTGGTACCAGGGAAATCCCTGGTAGAGGATGTGGCCTTGGTGTATAAGCTAATGACCAACAGGAGCACCATGGCCATTGCTAGCACCTGTGGTGCCAGTTGGAAAAAGGTGGTCTCCTCTGAGGACACCAGTGAGAAAAAGTCACCCTTTTTGGGGGGAGGACAGGGTTAGGCACAGCCTTGTACAGTGACACATAGCTTGGGCAGCAGAACTTGGGCTGGATTTCAACCCTCACTGGTGCCCTTTGGGCCAGTGAACAACCTGTGCAACTGTACATGGTGGCCCTGGAGGCTACTGTGGCTCTTGCTCATGATAAGCCAAGAAGAGAACAGATTTGGCAGTGTTAAGAGGTGTCTGAACCGGGCACAATGGCACATGCCTATAGTCATAGCTATTCGGGAGGCTATGGTGGGAGGATCGCTTGAGCCCAGGAGTTTGAGATCAGCCCAGGCAACATAAACCCTGTCTCAAAAAGAAAAAAGTTCCCCCCATTTACATGTAGTCCCCTAGAGATGAGGGGACTGGGATGCTCCTTGCCCGTGGCCACCCCATGGCTGTGCCTCCTCACTATCTGTGTTTTCCTCTCTGGCGGGACGCGGGGCGGCCCCTAGGTGTCCAGCCACATACAGGTTCTAGCTCGGAAGAAGGTGCGGGAGTACCAGGTTGGCATCAAGGTATGTTGGGTGCCTGGCGGGGGCCTTCAGCCCTCCTGGGCCCCTCACCCACGGCGCTATCTCTGCATAGCTCAGGCCTTTCCTTGGCCAGCTCTCCAGCCCCACTGTGCCTTTTTCTGGCTGAAGTTCTGTTCCTGCCTCTCCTTCTGCTCTTTCTGTTCTTTTTCTCTTTTTTTCTTTCTTTCTCTCTCTACAGGTCTCTAGCCACTTGCAGGTTCTAGCCAGGCGGAAATCTCGGGAGATTCAGTCCAAGCTGAAGGTATGGGGCCCCTGCCACCCAGCCTGGCCTGCCCAGCACCCTCCTGGGTGCAGGCCTGTCGCTGCTCTGTGGCTTCAGCCTGGGGCAGGCAAGGGGCTGAGAAGCTGTGAGGGGGTCCAGAAAGAAACACAAGTGGCAGCAGGAAGCCCAAGGGCCCTGTCATTGAGGGAGAGGGAGACCATCTGGGGGCCACTAAGGCCCACCCCTCCTCTTCTCTGTTTTTCTTTTTCTCCTTCCTCCTGACTGCTGCTTACTAACTGCATGGGGACTTCTGTGGGCAGGGAGGAGGCCCCGGGGGTACTGGCCGGCAGGGCTATCGAGGTGGGCATGGCAGTTCCTTGCAGATCTGGCTGTCCTGCAACTGCGGATCTCAGAGTCTGGGGTTCATGACTGAGGCCCTTCTCAGGGCCTCATGCAGGCCGTGTGCTCTTCTCCCTGTCCACAGCAGTGCAGCGGAGGGGGCCTCTTACCTCCAGGCCCCCGTGCCCAGAGCCTAGTTCTAGAACATATGGACAGACCCAGAGGGTGCCAGCTTGTTTTCCCTCACTCTGCCCTTTCCAGGGCTTGACCCAGCTGGCAGGCACTCCCTCTGGGGGGACAGGGAGGGTCTACTGAGCTTCCTTGGGCTCCTCGGAAGCTAAAACTCATGGGCACTGGGTGGAGGTTGGCGCAAAGACGTCCCTCACCCCACAGCCCTGATGCTGCACATGTCCTCTAATCCGTCTTCCCTCTCTCCCTCGCAGGCCATGAACCTGGTAAGTAGCACGGCCCTCTCCAGTGGGAGCGGGGAAAGGGTCTTAACACCTAATACAGGATTTTCAAATGACAGATTATGAAACCAGCTTAATAGGTGTGCAAGCCTCATTTTTAGAAAACGAAATGGCCGGGCGTGGTGGCTCATGCCTGTAATCC